TTCAAATGAAGTCAGCATATGCAAAACAGGCACCACCCACAAACTCAACAACTTCCTATTTCCTCATTTCACAGTCAAACTCCTATTTTGCTTTGTTCTTACACAGGCATGCAATCCCTTTCAAAAAATGCATAGTTAAAAGCCACGTCACCCTCTGCTCTATCGTATTGGTACAGATCGAGGCACGTGGTTTGCAGGGTCATTTTTTCTCACACAACCCACAGTCACCTGCTTTAGGCTGACAAAACATGACAAATTTGTCATACAAATTTGAAGATTTATGGAAATTACACCCACCTCAACAGGTTTTTAAAACAACATTAGGATGAAGGTGGTGTGATGTAACGGCTTGTTATTTGTTGGCTATTAGTATGTTATTTACAGTGGGGTTTAGTAGCCTGAGACCACTCTTTAAATCTGGGTTTCAATTTTTATTTTTATATATATTTTTTTGAAAGTTCTAGATTTAATGAAAACATTTTCACTGAACCAAACACACACTAACCCAACCCTAACCTTAGACAGATTTTTTAAATGTTTTTGAAAGAACTCTTATACTCACCAAAACTGCTTTGTGAAATAAAACAATTTAAAATAACAATTTTTTATTTTAATATATTTCAACATGTAATTTAATTTTTAGCAGCCATTAGGTCCATGTCACAATAAATAATTCTGATTCGGCACTTAAGAAACATTCTTTTTACAATGTTTTTTTTTTTTTTTTTTTTTTTTGGGAGACCATGGTCCTTTTTTCAGAATTCTTAAAATAGACTGCATTTATTTGAAATAGTCTTTAACAGGACTATTGCCACTTTTGATCAGTTTAATGTCTTTGCTAAATACAAGTATTAATATATACTGTATATATATATATATATATATATATATATATATATGGTAACATATATATATATATATATATATACAGTGCCCTCCACAATTATTGGCACCCCTGTTTAAGATGTGGTCGAGGACTTTTAAAAATTCTCCCTTTTTTTTAAACAACATAGATCCCAAATGCAAAAAAAGAGAAAAATCCAACCTTTTATTTAAGTACATTACTTTGGTGGTAAAAAAAAAATAAAAAATTTAAAAAAATAAAAACTTCAAATCATGTGTCCCACAATTATTGGCACCCCTGATGTTAATACTTTGTACAACCCCCTTTTGCCAACAAGACAGCACTTAATCTCCTCCTATAACATTTCACAAGATTGAAGAACACAGAGAGAGGGATCTTTGACCATTCTTCTTTGCAAAATCTTTCTAGATCATCCAGTATCCTAGGCCCTCTCTTGTGCACTCTCCTCTTTAGCTCACCCCACAGGTTTTCGATTGGATTGAGGTCTGGGGACTGAGATGGCCATGGGAGGACCTTGAGTTTGTGACTGAACCATTTTTGTGTAGATTTTGCCACACGTTTTGGATCATTATCCTGCTGAAAGACCCAATGACGACCCATCTTCAGCTTTCTGGCAGAGGCCATCAGGTTTTCAGTGCCGCTTGGCAAACTCCAGACGTTTACGTTTGTCAGTGTTAGTGAGAAAAGGCTTTTTCCTAGCATGCCTCCCAAACATCTTGTTGGCATGTAGAGAGCGTCTGATGGTTGTTTTGGAGATTTTGTGACCCCAAGATGCCACTATTTGATGCAATTCTGTGACAGTGAGCTTAGGACTTTTTTTTACTTTTCTTAGCATCCTCCTCCTCACCTGTGTTGTGGCAAGATAAACTTGGGACCTCTTTCAGCCTTGTTTGTCACTGTTCCTGTTGTTTTAAACTTCTTAATGATTCCTCTAACTTTAGATATGGGCAATATAAGGTGAGTGGCTATTTTCTTGTAGCCATTGCCTGACTTATAAAGGTCATCACACATCTGCCTTACTTGAATGGTGTGTTCTCTTGTCTTTGCCATGTTGACAAATGGGTAAGAGAATTAGGCCTCTGTGTCATGTCATATTTATACCCCAGGGAAATAGGAAGTCATGAATTACTAATTAAAAGTTCCTAGATATCCTGCCCAACATTAGCAACTACAGAAAATATTTTTTTTTTTTTAAAAATCAATTACATTTTTCAGCGGAATTGTTAGGGGTGCCAATAATTGTGGGACACAGGATTTGAAGTTTTTATTTTTCTAAATTTTTACATTTTTTTTACCACCAAAGTAATGTACTTGAATAAAAGGTTGGATTTTTCTCTTTTTTTGCATTTGGGTTCTATGTTGTTTAAAAAAAGGGAGAATTTTTAAAAGTCCTCAACCACATCTTAAACAGTGGTGCCAATAATTGTGGAGGGCACTGTATATATATATATATATATATATATATATATATATCTTACTGAGCCCAGACTTTTGAATGGCATAGAAGCTTAAACAATCAGGCTACCCTTAAGGCTACCCTTAATGAAAGCCATTCTAGATGAGATTCTCACACCTCTTGTGAAACATCAGTCGGCAGATTGCCCAAACATGTACCTTCCACTGTGGTCCAGTAATGACCTGTTATCTGCATTGTGTTTGCTAATTCTGACTCAGTCATGTCTTGCCCACTGAAATTATTTGCTACTTGCACAAGAAAATATAGGGAAATGAATGCACAATAAAATCACAGCTACAAATGATAAAACATTTTTTTTCCCAAATAAGGGTTTAGGTTTTCTTGATTTAAACATTCAAATGCATGCATCACGAAATGTCCCTGAAATTCTTTGTGATTACTCTATTGGAATGCATGCATCTAACTGAATAAGCTGCGAGTTGTTACGTGTCTGTTAAACAATGTCAACCACTTATCCCTGATTGCCTAATCTGTCCAAATTAGTTTCACTGTTGGAGATATGAAACAGAGACAATCCTTTTGAAGTCAGCAAACACGACCCCTATCTACAAAACATTACACACAAAAAAGGAGAAAAGAAACAACACTAAGGCCAAAGACAACATCATTGATCTAAGTTTAATCTAAGCTTTGTTTCGAATTAAACCTTAAATGGATAACTTTGCCAAATTTCCATGAAACAAAAGTCAACTACGGTGAATCTTCAACGGATGTTCAAGTCACCTTAACGTAGAGTTCAAGTCACCTTCTGTGCCGCTGCAAACCCACAGTAATGGCTCTGTGTGCCATAGATAAACAGAGGCAGGTTTTCTCCCTGGATGACATTGTTTGTTTAGCAGTTATCCTGTAATGCGACCAAACATACTTAGTGTTGCCCAGATATGCCAAACTGAGACAAAGAGGACAGTGTTTGGCACACAAAGAAGTGGACTGACCAGCTTGCTCCTCTTCAGCCACAATGAGCCAATGAAAATGGGCCAGTGAAAAATAGTATGTCTTTCATAATGCACATTTTTCTATAAGGACAACAAGCATAATAATGTAAAAAATGAAATCAGGCCTTTATAGCTTAATGACCCGAAACTGTTCTGCATCCATTTATTTAATTTCTAGCAGAGAGACCACATTGTTGTAAGTGTTGCTGTAATATATGCATACACTGCTTTCAAGGTGAGAAAATCTCACCCTTGTGTTTGGAGTTGGAAAAGAGCAGAAGTCGTGAAATCGGGAAGCCTGATAATAATCAGACCACGTGAATCAGGACCAAATCACTTCATTTGCATCACATATTCGACACACGCTCTCTACCCGCAGTGTCCATTGGCTGAGAACACATCCAGCCAGCATGCAAATCTACTGCATCAGATAGAAACTTCAGAGAAGGTTGTTAGTGAAAACATAGTGGCTGCTCACTCTATTGTCAGACTTTGACTATGTCAGTAAAATTGGGAAGGGTGTGAGTACAGAAAATATACAATTTGATGTTTCAATTAGAACAATAATCATGTTACCAGAGCTATAATACCTAAAATCACTGACACATGGACTGAATCCCTTATTACTTTTACTCTTCACACACAGTACCATGTTCTTAATACCGTATCCTAACAAACAGAATGATGTCCAATAGGTAAATGTCCACCAATAGAACAGAATAAATTGAATGGTGTTTTTTATTAGATGGGAACTAAAATCTGAGACTACATTGAAAATAAAGAGAATACAATCTAAAAGATACAAAAAAGTTGTGCAGCAAAATGAAGAATAAATATTTAAGATTCTAAATCCCTAATCAATCAATTTATCACTAAGCACTAATTTGTGACAATAATGAAAAATATACTGAAGATTTCTCATTTAAATGTCCCAGAAAGACAATCTGGCAGAACTGGACTGTCAGGAATTCAACGGCTCCCTCAGCATCAGCTGAACTAGTGTTGCAAACAACACCAATCCCCAACAGCTCTACACACACACACACACACACACACACACACACACACACAAATCTCCAACAGCTCTACACACACACACACACACACAAATCTCCAACAGCTTTACCTACACACAGACACACACCAATCCCCGACAGCTCTACACACACAAACACAACATTGATTCACTGGTGTTTCTCCCTAATGGAGCAATACAATATTGATGGGAACGCACATAATTCTGCTCAAAATATTTAGAGCATCTTTTATATTAAGCCTGAGTAAGTCAACAAAAATAGGCAAATCTTTTCACTAAGAGGATAAAATGTCAAATACCTTGTTTACACTTGATATTAACATCTTTCTGACAATCTGTCGATCAATCATTGTGCTAAAACAATTATTCTAATTTCTAAACCAACTATGAATTTAAGATGTTGATGATAGGCGCTTTACTAAAATAACTGAGCATTCTGCTCAAAAAGTCTCATCTGCAATGAGATTAAAATTTAAAAGTATGACTTTCCGTGCTTTTTTATCAATGTGGAATAAAACACTGACGCAGTGAGTTGTGCATGTATGATGATGTTCATACCCTCGAAATTTGTATTTGTGAGGCATGTTAGGTGAAAACAGCTTGACCGCTTGTGATAAGATTGCCTGAGATCTTATAATCAGGTGTAAACAGGGACCAAAAATGATAGTGAGGTTGTGGATCAATTACCTTTTCACCACCAAGCTGAGAGTCTTGTGGGAGCCCTTGACCAGACAGATGGCCTCTTGTCTGAAGCCAGTGAGAGAAATGTTGTTGATATTGATGAGTTCATCTCCAGCCTGCAGTCTTGCGGTTGCGGCCTTACTGCCCTCTTCGACCTGTGACAGACACAATACACTCAAGCTCAATCAAAACTGTCCGTTCCCTGACCATGCATCACCTACAAATGAATAGATCTATACTAAGAGCACTCTCTTTATTGTGTGGCTGAAATCGAACAATGACAATATATGGACAAGCATTCACCTTTTGTAAACGACTAGTGTAGTGCGGTTAGGCTTTCTACTTATAGGGAGCAAAAATCTGATTGTTTGGCATATCCAACTTAAAGCTACACTGTGTGATTTTTACCCCCATCTAGCGGTGAAAAGGTATATGACCATCCAGTGAATATTAGTTTCTGTTCCTCTCAATTCCGATTTCGTTTTTAACTCCTACGGTGGCTAATGTAGTCCAAGATTAACTCAAACGTAAGCGCGAAAGGCGAAGCTTGAATTAACGGGTATGTCCCTCTTTTTTGGCAAATGTACTTTCAAGATGGAGGGGCAACATGGCGACTGACATTAGAACCCCTTACCCGTATGTATTTTCAATGGCATATTATACACTCACGAGAATACTTTATTACTTGAACGAAGTAAATATACATGAATGAGCACATATATTTTTGAAAGAACTAAGTGTTTTAGCTAAGAACAAACTAAAAGAGTTACACAGTGTAGCTTTAAATCAGTTTAGTGAAAACTAATTTTTAGTGTGAACTGTCACATTCAATTGTTGTAGTTATCTGAAACAATGCATATGTTGTCATACACAATGTGCAGTTGTCTGTCACATTTTTTCAAACTTCTTACACTAAAAACTATATTGTACGTGCGCTGTAGAGAATAATTAAACACAGTATGTGTAAGAATATGTAAAACACACTAAAGACCACCTATGTTATTTGGTATCATGGTGTGTTGTCACAATAGACATGATCATAGGCAAATGTTTTAAATTTTTTGGTCCTTTCTTTTTGCTAGACATTAGGAGTGTGAAAAAGACATTTGTAGGCTAGTTATAAACTCTTTAGACTTTTAATGATTAGTGTTTTATTTTTAAAGTTTGTGGGTCGTGTAAAAAACAAAACAAAAAATCCCTTATTTTGGGAATGGGTTCCAGGAAATCTCCCTTATTTTCAATGTTCAATGTTGACAGCTGGACTGGATATGGAAAAAGTTTAATACATCAACTTGCTCCGCTGACTACGTCACCTTCTTCGTTGCTCTGATTGGCTTTAGCGCTATCCAATTGCGTGCAGAGAGAATTTGAAAGACAACCGTTTTATCCCGCCCCTCGGATTGAGCCCTGTCAATGAAGAGTTTCCAGACCTAACATCTTGATGTAGGTCTGGCATGCCATGCTAGTATATATCGTGACCACGGTAAAAAGTGTCAATAGATTTTAAAGTATTGTATATTTTGCGGTATGTAAATATATCCGTGTAGCACATTACGAAAAGACTACACGTAAGGGTGATAAAGAAACATGCATTTATGATAAAATAAAGAGTGGCACATGTTTGATGTTGAGTGCAATAAGCTGTGAAAAAGAACTCAATGCGGTTGGTGTTTGTGCTGACTGACAGACAGCTGAAGCGTGCGCACAGAAAGCCGCCTCTCTTGGACAGCATGCAACCCCGAATTCGGAATGTGTATGATGTTGTTCAACAAAGTAGTTAAGCACAATAAACTGTGAAAAAGAACTCCATGTGTTCGCGCTGACCAACACACAGCTGAAGCAAGTTCACACAAAGCCGCCTCTCTTACGTCATGCAAAAGTGAATTCAGTTCTTTAGTTTCATCTTAAAAATATATCAAAATTACGTCATAAGCTCTCAATTAAAATTGCATTACATTTATTTCATGCATTCATGGCTAGATTATTGTAATGCTCTGCAGGGTGGTTGCCCTGCACATAATAAATAAACTACAGTGGGTCCAAAATGCAGCCACTAGAGCTCGTACCAGATCCAGGAAATATGACAATATTAGCCCGGTTCTGTCAACACTGCATTGGCTCCCTATTAAACATCATAAATATTGCAGATTACTTACAAAGCACTAAATGGTTTAGCTCCCCAGTACTGGAGAGAGCTCTTAACGCATTATAGTCCTACCCATATTGATTCATGTCCTCAATGGAAATGAATCAATCAGAAAACTAATTTTAGCTGGACAATAACTTTATCCTAATGATTTATCCTAATGCTGTTGCTATTGTATTTTTAAATAGTATCAGTTGATCTTGGATTCATACAATGAAGACTATGCAGTGTTTTAGTTACACTTGATTATTCAATTTCTGTAGTATTTCTTATTACTTATGTTAAATATAGCTATAGCTGAAAAAAAGTTTCTTTAATTTGTGCTGCATTTGTCCTACTGTTAGCAATTTGCTTCTTTGTTCTTATTTTTAATTTTAAAAAATGAAATAAACTAAAAAATAAAAATAAAATAGCTATATCGAGATACAGTATAAATTGTTATTGTGAAATAAAACTTCTCATACCATGAAATAAGATTTTGGTCAAATCGCCCACCCTTTAAGAGTATGTAAACTGGATATGGACTGTATGAACAAACAGATCTAATTTTATCACATGCATAATGACAGTGTGGACAATCAGTCTTTAGGATCCAATTTGAAAATCTGATCAGATGTGCAGTGTGAACAAAGTCTTAGAGCATTTCCTAAACAACTGCATGCATTCTAGTGTCAAATATATTATTATTGCTGTAGGTGTTTTAGCCTTAAACGCCCAAATGAGAAAGGCATGTTCACCTTTCTTAATCATCACAGGGGGGCAAGTCATAAGCTTTCCACATTAGCACTTTACCTCCACAGCCAAGCTAGAAGCGAGTTAATCATACATATACTGTCATAAAGAGAGGATTTCAGGGAACATGTAGCCAAATAGGGGTTTGGGTCTAAAGTAAAGTAAATTCCTGACATGATATGTAATGCTGCTCTATCTTCCAGTAAGCCAGTTATCTGCTATTTGAGCCTTTACCCCAAAGTTGATCATGACTGTTCATTATTTACTTTGCAGGTCTATTACTCATCAAACTTGATCTTTTCTGGGGAGATAATAATATTCATACAAACAGACATGCACTTTTTTACACCATTTCACTATTAGCAACAGGTCAACATATTTTCGGTCAACTTTAAGCTCAAATGGACAACAAACCTTGAGTAATAATTCATGCAAGCTTTATCACCAGCTGTGGTTAGATTCAAGTGCCAATCGCCCCTATAATAAACCATCTAAGTGAGTATACGTGCTTGGTCAAGAATGCACAAATGTGGCTATTCCTTTGGTCTTCCCTGTGTTTATTATTTTAACAGCAGCAGGACTCTGTGACATCCGGACCCAAGAGCCCCCCTCAGAGTTTATAAAACAAGGAAAACTTTAAGGAGGCCGAAATAAGAAGTACTTAGAATAACCTCAAACGTTAATGTTAAACAGGCTCGCTATTGGTTGCCCCCCCTCTGGCATTCCGCACCATACTGAGAGAATAAATGACTTAGAACAATGGAAATGTTCTCAAGAGAGGTATCAGACCAACGTAAACATAGCAAACACTGCTGGATCATCAGGAATGAGGGTGGGGTGTTATTTAATGGGAATGTGAGGTAAAAGCAGAGGTGAGAGTGAAAAAAAAAGAAAAATATTTTCTTCTCAGTATCATGCATTTGCATGAAAAAACATGCAGATTTCGAAGACCATGAAAATATTGTCTTGGACTTGAGTCCAGTCTCACAAGTACTTGGGCCTACAACACTCACTACCAAATTCACAAGTGTCATTTACAGTGTACTTAATGAATAATGTGAAGAATAAGAATAATGTGTATGTGTATTACCACGCAAAGAAGAACATCAAGTGTACACTAAAATTCTGCAGGAAGTACAAAAATTGGACAGCAGAAGATTGGTTGCTTTTCATCCACACTGCCATGAATAAAGAATGGAATCAAAACTTTCTGCAAGAGCAACTTCTCCCAACAACCAAGGATCAATTTGGTGATGGATCTGGGCATTTTTTCCAGCATGATGGAGGCACCATATCAAAAGGCAAGAGTGATAACGAAGTGGCTCGGAGGTCATTACATTTAAATTTTGGATCTGTGGCTAGCCAACTCTGTGGATCTTAATCCCATAGAGAACCTATGGTCAATTCCAAAGGCGAGTGAACAAGCAGAAGTCCACAAATTGTGATCAACTCCGAGCCCTAATCAGGCAGGATTTGGCCCAGAAGCAGATATTCAGATGCCGCAAATTGCAGAGAAGACAGGTCAACACTGTAAATATGGACTCTTATTGGCATAAACGTTTATGAGACCATTGTTTTCCAGTCTAGCATAGAAAGATGTGAAAAAATTACCAACAAATTCTAAAGCAGCATACATTGTAAAAACAAAATTTATGTCACAAGTCACTACTAATATTTTGGCCATGGCTATACTGTATAAATTAAAACATGGATGAAAAATATCTTAGGATATTACATAATAATAATTATAATAGTAATTACAATAGTAACAGACATAATTTCCTCAAGTTACTTTAATGTTGTTGGATTGTAGAGAAGGCTGGGTGCCTATCCAGGCATCTTGGGCAGCAGGTGGGCTAGTCCATTGCAAGGCTCACACACGACACACTCTCACTCATACCAACAGGCAGTTTTTTTTGTTGGTTTTTTTTGTCTCTCCAATTTACCTATCATGCATGCCATTGGACTAAGGGGGAGACTAGAGTACCTGGAGGAAATCCAAGCTGACACAGGTTGAACCTACAAACTCTCTTTTCCGACATGTATCATAGTATTCTTTACGATATCTAAGTACTATCTAAATACCATGGTAAAGGCACCACTGTGCCATGTGCTAACCACACCACTACAGCTTCAACAACCAGGTGGAATTTCTAAGGAATTTTTCAAGGGATTGAAACAAGCTCCCATGACCTGGCAGTCTCCGCAAGGGGTCTGGAGTGCGAGATGGGGTGAGGGAAGGATGTGGCACAGAAGAATGTGGGAGTTCTGCTGACT